AATCGAAAACTAAACAACGAATGGCTCACAGCGGCACGCACACCAAGTTTAAAACCAGCAGACATTTCGCATCTGTTGTTCGAAGTGCCGACATGTCCCGTCTTATACTTACTTATCAAGACCCATTAGCTAATATCCGCTGATGATCTGGCGTCCACCGACCCCTCCACCTTTAAAGTTAGACCCATCATCAGCTGTGTCGTTCGACATTACCGCCCTTTACACTAACGTGTCGAACGACTCCGCGATGCAAGCCATCCGCGAGCTTCTTGAGCAACACGAAGAAGCAATTAACATGTATGGGTTTCCGATTCAGCAGCTTATGGTCTTTCTAAAGGCCTATTGAAACTGCTCGATCTTCAGATGCTACCGGAAATATTAAGCGCAAATTAGAAGGTTGGAACAGCGACTGGCATCAACCCTTGCCGTTGCCTTTATATCTAAAGTGGAAGCACCAGTAAACGATTTCAGACCGTAACACTACTGTAGGTATATAGGCGATTGTTTTGTCATCTGATCCACGCAAGAGGATATGGACAAATGCTGTGAGTTATTGAATGTAAGAGTACAGTCAGAGTACATAAAATTCACCCGTGAAAAACTGAAAGAAAACTGGCTTCCATTTCTAGACGTTCAAATCAACCTATCCGAAAACGGCTACAACACAAAATGGTATCGAAAGCCAAGCAGTAAGAACACAGTGGTTCATTACCTCTCTTCTCATCCCTCACACACTGAAAGGGCGCTTATAAGAAATATGTTTCAAACTGCTGCCAGTGTGTACACAGGTAGAGATCAGAGGGAAGAATACTCGGAACTGGCGCGCCAAATAGCCATTTCAAATAGTTACGGAACTGGGCTTCGGTTGCTGCTTGACGAATTTCATTTCATCTTGAATGTTGTGGAATGCTGGTCGAGCAATTCTTCCTGAAGTCCTGAGATAGCCGGGCTGGAGCGTTCCCAACTGGATTGCAGAGAGTGATTTTTTTCCCAAATAAGTTTGGTGCCAATTTCCCGATCCCAGAGGGATGAGAGGCTTGGTTGGCTCGGAGTGGAATTGAACTTCAAGTAGCACAATGCTCGTGATGATGGGCGTCACTACCACTGTGCTATCCGCTCCTAGTACTGCATAACTAAGGACGAAAATAAAGGCTAGTTTCAAAAACCCACTTTCCTCTACTCTCGGTATGGCCGATCAACATGGGTTTTTCGCTGAAACATAAGACGAAGTTGGTTAGAAAAAGCTTGATTTTGCTAACGTTTCGGTATCTTCTCCTTCTTCAGGGCTGAATTGATCAATTGTCCACAGTCCTTCCTAGTTGCGATTTCGGTCAGTCTAAAAGTGCACTGCTACGTGAGATTCCTTCACTACATGCGATCACGAAGACCCACATCGGAAAAGGAAGAACGGAAGGCAGTCAACTCAGATCAATCCGTCTCTGATGAAGACGAAAACGTCGAAACGTTAACCGAATAAGGTTCTTCTTTCTATCAACCGCGTATTAGCTTATCAATGAATAAAAGTCGAGTTTATTCGGAGTTGTAAGACCTTCCCTTTAACAACATGTGGACCAAAATTTTTCTCATCGGAGGAATATGGTCGTTTACTTTAAATATTCGCAATCCGAATTCCACTCAAAAGCTGTCTTGTGGGTATAAAGCAGTGCTACTTATCCCAACGACCTCCTTTTCCTAATTCAAAAAAGACGAAAAAGAATGAAAAAACTACTCCAGAAATCAACCGTCTTTGTACTTGGATACTTGGGTCTTTGGATAACCCGTCCTTCGCCGCCCATGTGGATCAGAGGGAGATTTGTCATTATGCAACTTTGATACCTGGGCGGTGGCGGATACTGGTATTGGTTTACTCTTAGCTAGACTTCCTGATGGAAGCGCCGGACTCCTTCTTAGCTTGGGAGACCTTGCCGGGGGATGAATCAGTCCGATAACCAGGACAGGACACCTTGCAGCCACGATGAGGCAGTAAGCCGTTGAGAGAAACCGTCTCTGCACTCGAAAAAAAATGGCGGTGAATTTCATAAGACATCCGATATCTTCAACATCACCGTTTCATGAAGCAATTTAGAACGTAGATCGATTCCCAGTTAATTTTTCTGGAGGTCTCATATCATCGAAGTTCATCTGCCATCCATACTTCTTTATATATAACCGTTTGCGCCGTTTAACGTTTTCTGGATTTTGAGGACACTGGTGGATCGTGGGCAAAAGTAAAGCAGGTGTCTGCGGTCGGAATCGAACCCGCTTTTACCCTATCTGGAGGCTAAGGTGTTTACCACCACACCATGCGTATCGTTCGCTTCGTTTTTCTTTCAGCCAGTTTTCTACCTAAAGCGGCCATCAGCAATCACTCATCAACGGGTGGTGAACACGTTAGCATCCGGAAAGGGTAGTAGAGGGTTCGATCTACACTGTGTACACCTGCAGTTCGGACTCTTACAATTATCTCAACATCATAGTGGTTGAATTTTACGTGATACCCTCGAGTGAAAAATAACAACAGGAAGTAAATAAAAAAGTTGACACAGTAATGTTTGCCTTTTATTCCTTAAAAACGATTTTATCATCTAAGAACTAAACCGATCGGATAGGAAGCAAAAAATCTGTACCCTTGCATGAATGGAATACATTCTTGGTTCGACGGAAAGTGAGGTTTCGAAAGGCTGTGCAATTCAACAGTGTGGAAACTTTCTTGCTGCCATCAAGAGGCGTTAAGGCTTTGAAAGCTCTACAAATATACGAGCGAAAATGGATTAATGCATATAAGCGTTCACCACTGCTACCCTGAGTGATGCGCCGTGTTTTCGACTTCATCATGCATCGTGTAGTTGGTTGAACCAATGTATTAACGCAGTCTTTTTGTCCTTCTGGACTAGTTTGGTCCAATTTGCTGACCTCGAAGGGATTGAGAGCTTGGTGAGACCGAGATGCGGGTTCGAACCAGCGACTGACCCAGTGCATATCGCAGAGAACCTCCAACTGCTGCAGTCTCCGCGGAACAAACGGAGTAAATGAACACTTTTATATGCTTCTCAATAATCGTATAGCAGATGTTCATCATTTATGTCTGTATCGTTCTCGACGTGGTTACCGTGGACCGCAGTCGCTTTCATCGCCGCGATCTTATATAACTTGGGTCGCAATGATTCTGCTGTGGTTGGCTAACAGAACTAAGAGACCTATACCTTCGTCAGTATCACATCTCATTGTATTAACTGATACACATTTTCCCAAACTATGGAATCCACACCACTCACCATAACTGAATTTTAGCCAGTTATTCTAAATGTCTACGAAGAGTTGCGGATTTGTGCAATGGAAGTGATGTGCGAACAAACGGAGAAATGGCTAAGAAGAACAGGAAGTCGAAGGTTCACTGAATTTTCACAATAAACTAAGAGTATAACAATTGAGCTATTGGTTCCCTGGGTTTCCAGGGTAACGATTTCAGGACTCGTTCTCCACATTTGATAATATTTGCGCAACCAAACAGTTCCGACATCGGATGTTGCATGCTTATGGATCCGAATTTTGTCAGTTCTTTGCTAATTCTTTGACGTCGTTTGCTTGTAACTTTTCAACAATCTTAATCTTTTCGTATTTAGTTCGTCGTATAAAGGTAAACTATCAAGTACACAGTATTTTTCGCGTAATCACTCTACACCTCAAGAACGAGAGAACCAAAGAAAATTTATTAAGAAAAACGACCTAAGATGCCAGATTGTCTAGACCCGGAAGCGCTCAAAGCGCAATGTTTAAAGATAGATACTGTGCAGCACACATGTATGGTCGTTAGTTTAATCCCACTCCAAGCCTATCACGCATTTGTCCCTGCACGGTTGACAAGCCGGTGGCATATTTGTATGGTAGAAGCTCTCTTCGGTCGTCAAAGCCCAGTGAGTGTGTTAGGCTATCTTAGAAAGCTCCGGCAGAACCACCTTAGGATTGCAAGGAGAACGAACTCGACCAGCAGTCAACAGCGTTCTTTAAGAAAACAAATTCTTGAAGTGGCAGTCGAACCTATATACAAATCCAAAGACATTCGCAGATGGGAGAAAATGCATTGAATGGGGGAAACTTTGGTATCCAGAATATGTGACGTTAGCCCTTACTTGGATACTTGAATGGCCCTTCCTCATTGGTTGCGCGCGCCCCAGCATAATCTCCATTTTTTTCGGATTTCTGTTGGTTTAGTCATTGTGGTTCCCTGGAGTCCTGAGGTCAACCTAGCCAAAGCCTGGTCCAGGTCGTCGTCACCACAGGCAGTTGCCACCCCTGTGGATCAGAGGTAAATTTGCCACCATATGACTAGTTTGATACCATGACGAAGGTGGATCCTGGTATTGGTTTACTCTTAACGGACTTCCTGATGGAAACGCCCGCTCCAGTCACTCGATGATCAACGGGACTGCAGGTGATACGGGTTAGTATTTGTGCGAAATAACTAGTCGCATTTTTAACTACAGGGGTTGTTGAATGGATGTCGACTGGTCATTCTTTTCATATCGATAACCCATCCCCTTGCACTCGGTGTTAGAATAGTTAACACATAGTAAAATAATACTTTACTAAACTGGCTTTCACTTGATCTCGTCGCTAGTAATCAATGTATTTCTTTGGAAAGTACAATTCAAACGAAGTGTTATATAACTTTTATTCAGGCAACGTTTCGACTCTTTCGTCATCTTCGGACCCGCTGATCCAAGTCCATACATTAAACAAGAAAATTCTACAAATGAGTTAAAATAAACTGTTAAATCAGAACTATTTAATAAAATTTACGTTAAGATCAGAATATCCCTGGCGAGTCATGAAACAATCTGGCTATATTATGGCTTTAATTACAACTAGGTGACCACACAAAGCCATTTTGAACAATTTTTCTTTAATGCCTCATTTTCCTTCAAAACCAACGAAGTCCTTAAAGAAACAGAAAATTTAGGCGCTTAACTTAGTTTTTCACAAAATAGCTTTACCCACTTTCACTTGAAATGTGAAAATGCAAAGAGCTTGTCACTTACAATTAGGAACACAGCTCCTATAAGAACAGCCTTTGTCGATACTGCCATATCACGAGGAACTGCAATCACAACAAATGCTTTAGACATCTTACCCGATTCCTCTATTAACCTACTTATAAATTTGGGCAATGATCAAACAACTGAAGAAGATTTCTGGACCAGTTTCCGGTCTAAAAACCGTCTTCCAGTGAACCTTAGCATTTGCATTCAATCGCCTCTGCGATGATTGATGATTGTACGGCGTTTCCATCAGCGATCAACCCCAGCAGTATTATCCCTTACAAGCTCTATTGTTAATACTTATCAGGTAGAAAATTTCGGTGATATACTGTAGACTGGCGATTCGGCTCTACAAATGCTTCCCCATTTCCATGGTTCTATTTTAAATCTCTTATTTTCAGAATACCCTGCACTGTATGAGTAATGTGCGTCCATCTTCGCTTATAACACCGATTTTCAGCTATTAGTAGAAGTGTGAAACACAAGTGAGATAATAATTTCTACCTATAGTTTTCTAAAAAGTGCGTGTTGCGCAGTGGTCGGAGGGGCCATGCAACACACACGTGGAATCGATCCCCGCGCCCATGGCCCACCATGCCTTCCATCCCTTCGCAGTCGGCAAATTGGTAACAGACTTGTTTAGGAGGATAGAAACCTGCTTCGGTACATCAAAGGCCATCGAGAGTCATTATAAGGGTTAGATATGCATCCATTCACCAGTAAAGATGTTTAATGAAGTCGAATGCATGGCCCCATCCCTCAGGGATTGATCAACGCCTAAAGCTTTGTCCTTTATCCTTATACTTCTCTTGTAGATATTTGATTGATAAAAAGTAATGGAGGATTTCTAACCATGGCTTTGAGATGCTATAAAGTGAATCGAAGGGAACTTTGGTAACCAAATCGAGAACCAGTTACACATGCATATTTTTGCGATTAAGACAGAAATTAGCTTGTGTCACTAGCACAGATTATTAAAGTTGTGCAATCGACGAACCCTAAGAAGGCATTTCCAATAGCGTCTTGACTGTCGAACACTTTTTTCCTTGGAATTAGTTCTCGAGGTACTTTGAGTAGCGCTTGACAACAGATCCGGAGAGCTTCGTAGCTCAATTTTTTCAGCTTGAACCGCTTTGGTTTTGATGGGTTTAGTTGGTCATTATCTTTAAAGAGCATTGAACCGATTCTGTTTTTGATGAGTGTTCATCGCTCGATTAAGCGCTGATGAGTTCTAGGTCGTCGTTTTAAAATCCGTTGTCAACTTTTTGAGGTAGAGTACCTAGCAGAGTCCTGTAAGAACGATGATCCTGCTTGACATGATATGTGCGCGCTTTGAAGCAGCGTAAGCTCGTAAAACTCACGAATTAGGTACCGATTTGCGTCGGCTCTGAACTGTAAGTGTGAAAATGAGCAACGACGTTAAGATTTAGAATGGATGACATCATTCAAGCAAGTGATGAACTTGTGTCAAGCCTCTTGCGGACGTACTCCAGCTACGCCAGCAATTTTGGAGTTGTAACCACTTTTGGGTCAGTTTCTTTAGAGATGGGTTTGAAGTTTTCGTGGTACATGGTTTTGCGAAATTTCGAGTCTCTTCCACAAAGTTTATCTATATTCAAAGCTAAGAGGCAAAACAGGGCGTTTTTCTTGAAAAGAAGTCTTTTTTCAAAAACTGAGTTCGCTTGATATCCTGCTGATGGGCGATGGATGATAACATTATTAGATTGAATATCTGGCAGAAAGGCAAAACGTAAGATCTGCATGGTATGGTGATGAATACGTTAGCCTGGATTGGGTAATATCGGGTTCGTTCCCCACTGCAGACACCTGCATTCCGGAGTATTGCAACTATCTTAGCAACATTGTGGTTCGATTCTCCGAGAACACGTCAAGGGTGTGCGCCATTTTCTCATTGGGCAAATATCAGATATTTAGGACGAAGATACGCTACGTAGAGGCTTTTAAAAAATGTGGACCAAAGAAAAAAAGATCTCATGGAAAGAATTTTTTGTGAAGTGCGCTTACATTCAACTCTGAATGAATCGGCATCTGTGAAGAATTCTTTAAGTACGCCACCCCATACCTTCTTTATCGCACCAATTCTTGAGTTGTCTATCGACGAGTAGACCTGAATGAAAAAGATCAGGTCCAATAACTCTCAAATTTTAATTTTGTCCTTCTCCGCCTTCTCGATCGATGGTGTTAGAATGGGAAATTTCTCCCACCGCGATCATTGTTTACAATGAGCAATTCATGTCATCATGCTGACCTGACGAATAACATACGTATCCAAAAGGAGAAATGGGCTTTCGTACGAAAAGTGGTGAGAATAGATAGAACAATAGATAGAACTCAATAGAACTAGCTGAGGTACAGGTTCAGCAGGGCTTGGATTGTCTAAATGCGATGTCGAACTGATAACCATGTGTGTATTGTAAGCCACCCCGAATTGCCATGCGATCATTATGCCTTACCAGCAGAATTTGGTCATTTCCTTGTAGAGAAAGTATTTAAAGCTGATAATTGCGCTTAAGCTGGTTAAACAACTATCACTCTTTAGTGATCAGAATCAGTAGTAACAGTAATCAGTATAATCACCAGTTCGACATCAAATCTAAACAATCCAAGCCAACAGTGATCAACAAATTGCTATCACACTTATTTCACTTGTCAAAAACACCAAGTTCTTGTATAAACCGACTATGAATTCAGCAACTCAGTAATGCTCAAAAGGCGAGTGTGTGGTGCATGACACAAAAATTAACCAATGCCGACAATGTTTCACACTTTGCCGTTTGATTCGTAAGGAACTGTTCAGTTGAATGTTACAGTTCAAAGCAGTCCCACCTTGAATACTTTTTCGCGGAAGTGACAAGTACAACAACCACATCCACAATACGGCGGCCCAGTAATATACGCGAATCGCTTGCCTTCGCCGTCATACACATTGAAATTCAATCGGAAACCGCAATACTGTTTTATACAACCGATCTGGAATGGGGTGTAACGCATTATCTGAAAGCATACCTTCTCAGTAGGTTGCCTTCAACAAGCGAAACAACAAAAAGCATTTATAACGAAAGAAAGCGGAGAACAGGTCGGAGTTGTGATGAATGATTTCGATTCAGATTATGTCGCAGGTTATATTACTATCTTCGTGAAAATCCTATTATACAACTTTCTATTTACTGCCTACTACTTGTTCATAAGGGAGTATTATGTGAAGTACAACCACAATGGTGCTGAGATATTTGCAAAACTCGAACCCAAGGCCAGCTTCGAACGTGCGATTACCCTTGAAATGTTTCATAAATGCGATGTTGTTTTATGTGATGTTTTATTTCACGTTCACACCTTGAAATTTTTAATGTTATGCTTAAAACCGAATTTTCCTACAAAACCGACGGTGGTGAAAAACCGAGCCTCAATTTGTCCACCAATACATTCTAGTTTTTCAATATGTCCTTGTCGTATTCTTTTTCCGCCTCAAGAAAACTATTCGGAAAAAAGAATCGATTCCTGGAAGGTTTATGCGTCTACGTTGTCAAGAATTTGCACTGTTGGATCCAACGTTGGGGCAGCAAAGACATGTCCATCTGAGGTCGGTAAATCGGTGTTAGGCTTACATTACAAACACTTCCTCCAATCCACAAAATCTGACGATTATCTCGCCGGAGAAGACCCGGGAACGACTAAGAGCGGCAACCTCGGAAATCGAAGCAAAATCAGCATTCATGAAAATTCATGAAAAATGCCGAAAATCCTTACACATAGCTTAACCAACACAAAAAATTTCGAAGACCTTTGTGGACGGCGGATGCGAAGAAACGAATCGAATCCAAATGTGAAATTCGCGCTTTATGTGAATCCGGTTCGCATAAACAACTAAACTTTCCCACACGACCTGACAGCACATGTCCTGTGGATTCTACACTTCTTGCATTCGACTCGTTTGCTCACATCCATCATGAAGAAAGGTCGGCGAAATTTTTGCACGCTATCCACAGTGCTTGAGGATTTTTGGTTTCCCTTACCAATTCTGGTGCTACGCTCCTGAATCCGAAAGGATAGGAGGGAGGCTTGGTGGGCTTGAGGGGAACGATTTTGTGAGTACTAGATAGAATTACCACTACTGCGTTCCCTCGAAATAAACAAATAGTGCCAAGTAGTGCTCTTCTCAGCTACCAAACGACTGTTTTAGATAATAGTAGTGAGGAGAAAACCATGAAATTTCGATTTTATTGGCTACCTGCGTTCCTGGCGGAGTTTCGATGGTTACACTGTCACCAAAACAAGGAATACACGAACACAAAGACGTGAGCAAAGGCGTACAACAACAGCATTCGCACAACAAACAAGAGCGATTCACTTTCATCACTGTCTAAAGAGCTCAGCTAAATGAGGCCATTCATAAAAGAGAGAGCAAAAACCTATGGGAGATTTAAAAAACATTGAGATCTCACTTAAAATATGTCCTAAGATCCTAAGAAAAAATTGTTTATCAGCCTCGTGGAAGCCTATCAAAGAAAGGACGTAAGTCCTAAAACATTAATAAACCAAAAAGAGAAATGTATGAAAATTTTAAAATCAATCGAACAGTTTTCATCATACGGATTTTCGAAACATTCAACTTACTTTATTCGAATGCTATGTGAAAAAAAACGAAAGGAAAAGTCACTGCCGATTTTGCTGAAGAGCGAGGAGGGTTGCAGCATCGTAGTGATAGCGAGAACTCTTATATGTCTAATCTAATAAATGATTAGCTCTTTAGTTGGGACTACGTCCCACAGAAACGTCAGCCATCGACCAATAACATCAAAAACAACGTCGACGACAAAGAAGACCTGTACCAACCTCGCGTCAGCTTAAGAAGGTCAGTTTATAAGATCATATAAATAAATATATGTCTTAGATAATAAATTTTGCACTCAAAGTTTGCCAACATCAATCCTTCTGTAAATAGGAAATAGATGGCCGACAGATGGGTAGGTGGTATATTGGCATTGGATGCTGGTTCAACCCAGCGAGTATTCCTTCTCAGCGTTACTGCACATACCAAAACGCGAACCTTGTGATCTCAAGCACTTTCGTCAACTAACCCAGTGTCCGCTAGACCTCTCTGTGGCTGTCTTTGACCTTTAAGAACACTAAATTGCTCATCAGTATGAGGTGCCATATCATATCAAAAAGAACCTAAATTCGTTACCTTTTTTAGTATTAGTAAATCTACAAAACGCTCAATTTTAAACAACACTAGAATTAAGTTATCTCCTAGGTGTTTCATGCTGCAAAGGTTTCTAATATACCACCGTAACCATAGGAAAAAAAGGAACGTGTAGTCTAATGGTAGTGATGCCATCAAATTCGCGCAAGGTCTGGTTTGTCCTCACTGTGATTTAACAATACCCTTCATTCTTTCTCACTCCAGAAATTGACAGCATGGTTTTTTGGGTCAGCTCGCTACACCCTGTCAACAGAGCTTAGCCACAGCCTGTGATGAAAATCCGAGAATATTCCAGCATAGCTATTTTCAATTTCAAGGACAACTGAGTCAACCACTGTTTCAGGGTATTAGTAAGGAAAAGCGATGGATGCCAAGAAACGGTTCGAGTACAAAAATTACTGATATAAGTACAATATATGGCGTTTGGTCGTGTAGAACGAAAAAGAATCACTGAAAATGCAACACGTTTCGTTCTACCTGTTGATAGTTGTTGACAAGGTGCATTGAAAATCCACGGCGCCTTCTGCAACACATTCTCATGCAACAATTCGATTTCTCGTACGCTCGAAAAAGCTGTAATTTCCCACTTCTGAGAAGCAACTAAAACTTCGCCTTAATAAAAATACTAACACTTCAATAGATTTACCTCCGCTCCTCTCTCTAAAACTGATACTCTTGGAACGTAAGATAGATAGAAGAAACGAATCAACACGATTGAACACACCTTTCTGCCATCCTCAGTCTGTATGCTGTATCGGTTTTTCGTTTCAAAATTGAGTATTGTTTCGAAGACTCCAACTCTCTGAAGAGAAACTTTGAGCATTAAAAAACTTTTAGAACCATAAGAAAACCCACGTTTTTCTAGAAGAAACTTAAAACTTACTTGTTGTACTATGACAGTATCTAGACATGTAAGTACTTCTAAACTTGCTAGCGTGATGTTTCTGAATGGTCCAGAGTTGTTCCCTTCATGGTAAAGCGCATTTACCTCATTACTTCATTCATGGAGTGGAATGAATACCTGTGTCATATCCTTCCAGTCCTGGTTGCTCAGTGATGATCATTGTGATGAATATCACCGTACTCTGCTTCGATCGTGCAAAATAATACGTTACTACTCCGCTAATACTCTGTTATGCTCTAGTAGGTGAGGATTGTTATTACTTATCAGAAATCGAAAAACTAAAACTCAGACTAACAACATTTGGTCGTTTGAAAATAATACTCGAAGCGTCAATATGCTCCTTCAACCTTATTGAGAGAACCATCCTTATATATAAATCTTAAACGATTCTGTCTGCATCATCTGGCCAAGACAAAAGTCACGAGCGATGTATTCATGCACGTATATATGTATCTATGTTGTGTATGTACGCTTATGCACGTGTGTGTGTGTGTGTGTGTGTGTGTGTGTGTGTGTGTGTGTGTGTGTGTGTTCTTTTACAATTATTCACGCTGATGTAAATGCGCTAAGTTTCTACGGTCCAACCTCTGTGGCCTTACCTTTCACCATAATCATTGTGAAAAGTCTGTCATCGACATTATTTAGCAGTCAAATCATGTGTGACGTTAGGACAACTTTAATTACATAAACTGCCTAAAGGTTCTACATGCATATTATTGTTCGTATTCTTGTTTAGTAAACGCGAGGCGTTCCTTTTACTTCTAATTCACAAATAAGCTGACGTTTCGGCGGATTTCGCCTTCCTCAGAACCACTTTCTATGAGGCTTCCACTGAGTATGTCGCGTGAAGTCCAACCGCACAGAATTCACACGGAAGCGTAATGTGCCCGTTCCGCGTGATATTGGGCAGTATATAAACCTGTTATTCCGATGGAAGGGTCACATTACGCTTCCGTGTGAATTCTGTGCGGTTGGTCTTCATGCGACATACTCAGTGGAAGCCTCATAGAAAGTGGTTCTGAGGAAGGCGAAATCAGCCGAAACGTCAGCTTATTCGTGAATAGAGAATAAAAGTAACACCTCGCGTTTGCTCAACAAGAATACGAAAAATTACTTGATCAATGCCGAGGTTAATAGAAAGTCGGTCGTGGAAGTTACCTCATATTATTATGGTAATATCGTCTATCCTTGTCCTACTATTCTTCAAAATGTGCCTGTAGCACAGTGGTTAGAAAAACCTTACAGTACTCGTAAAACGTTTGATCCAGCTATGCGAGCTGGGAAAACCAAACCTTCATCCCTTTATCTTTTGTGATCCAAAGCCGATTTCCATTTCTAGTCTCTTGATCTCACCAAACGGTAGGAACTAAAGCGGTGTTGGCAAGACACCACCGCTGTTAAATAACACTTCTCATTCTTTAAACTACATTCGTTAGACGGTTCGTATACACAGAATTGATTAGATATCTATCATCTTTACTGCTTTTGTTAAGTCATTTTCATTTAGTTCTAACTTCCGGCTGACGCGGGTGACTTCGCCTCTTTTACTTGTACTGAACAATGATATTCATACTAGCCATAATTTTATTGATAGTTGGCTTCTTCGCATATCGTAAGGTACGGTTTAACTGCCAGTTCTCGCAGAAGTAGTAGTTTTTTCGAAAACTGCTTAGAATTACGAAGTGGACGACAGTTAGATATTCACAGACCTACAATTCAGGTAAGGCCACCTGCTCCCGTTAACGAATTACCCGTCGACACACCAGCTACACCGATGGATCCAGTAAGTCTTTTTCATGGGTTTGGTATACTGCATTGGTTTGCTATTGTACACTTGATTACTGGTCTCACTATATACAGCTTCGGACAGCAGGTAAAGATGAGTGATGAACTTTATTTAGGGTTTTTCACCACTGAGAGATGTTAAGCTCATTTCCGATATTATTTTTTGCTTTCATGGGTTGGAAAAGACCACATTTGCAGAATGGATATCTCCAACACCATATGATTTAGCAAAGAAGTCAATGGCGTTGTAACAGTTTAGCAGAGCTGTAACAACGAAGGCGTAGCCAAAGTCACACAGTATTTGCTCCCTACTCAGATTTACGTTTTTCCACTCGCCAAAAAGAAAGCACAGCTACTTTTACCCAGATGTTCTTGTTCTTATAAACCCGTTTACTAAAACTTTCTAGGTGGCCACCGGAAAAGCACCAGATTCCGAATCCTATAATAGGATGAGTACAGAAACTCCACTCACCGGGACGACATCTGCCTCCACTGGGGCCACTACTACCGCTGTGGCCACTGCGACAGCGGCCGAAGGTGGCGCACCACCACCACCACTACCACCACCACCACCACCACCACCAGCTGCTGAGGCTACCGAGTCCAGTAGGCTCAAAACAACCCCATCAAGCAGTATGTGAGTAAACTATGCTCTTATGTGAAAAAAGAACACAGTTTTGTAAGTTGAGATCAGTGAGAATTCAGAAAAAGTTTTGAAAACTAATATTATGAAGCAATGAAATAATAAGAAACAGTTTAATGTTATATTATCGCATGCCGTTGGGCAAAAAGACGCATGTTGACGGCCTCATGCCAGCCCAAAGTAGACAGCTTCTAAGATTATACATCTTGCATGATGCCAAGGTTGGTGGAAACTCGCCCTTTCAAATTACTTGGGTGTAACCTCTCGCATATCAATCTTCAGATAGTGAACAAATATCGGTGAAATCTTCTTGAATTTTGGAAAGGAGAAATTCGTTGTCTTCCTGTTTGTATTGCTTTGCGTCAGCAGCACACCCATCGTTGCTCTACTAAGGATGAAGCATAAAGCATTCAGCGCTGATCAATGTTCTGTGGACACGCAACGCATTCGACTTTCACCAAGCCCTAAGGGTGGTTGGATGCATGTGTGATCTGTTGGATGACTTGTGACCTGGTGTGACTTCTTTTCCAGACAAGTGGGGTACCAATGTACGGGCTTCGGAGAAGCGGAGGGCTTGTTCCTTTGATCGGTGCACGGAAACAAACCAAAAAACTATGAGCGTATTCTAAAATACCACCAACCTGTGCGCTACAAGTACGAGTCTTGCATTCCTACTTGTATGGAGAGCTTAGGTGATTTTCTGACTTCACATGGGCGAATTTGGCCAATGGTTTGCACAAAACACTCATTTGCGACTTTTCATCTTGAAAATCTACAGTCACCCATCACCTACTTTTTCACTGAGAAGCCAAAGAAGGCTGACGTCGAAATGTGACAGTTACCAATTCCTTCTCACCCACCTACGCGCAGCACCACCCAGACACTTTATGATTGCATTGATAATGTTTGCTGTGGAAAAGTGAGCTTTATGAGGCCACATGTAACTAGCTGCATGTATCTGATGCAATGATGATTGAAATGCGTTAGAATCACAATCTTAACCGTTTTCGTTTACTGCCTATTCTTTTTAATCACAGGTATATTGCGAAACATAGCTTCAGTGATGCTGAGATATTTGCAAAACTCCAGACCGCAGATATCTGCGGTGGGGGAACGAACGCACTATTTCCCTTACTGAAGAGTAACACGTTCACCACCATACCATGCGGGTCCTTTGTTTTGCCTTTCTCTCATGGCAGGGCATATTGCAACATATTGAGACAGGCGAAACGAAGGACCCGCATGGTGTGGTGGTGAACGCATTACTCTCGGTAAAGGACAATAGCGCGTTCGTTCCCCACCGCAGATACCTGCGGTCTGGAGTTTTGCAAAGATCTCAGCATCATTAAAATGCGTTAGATTAGGCTGTTTTACATTTGACTTTTGGTGGGTTTTGTAGAGACACCAAGAAAAAATCCGTTGAGAAGAAGTCGAAGACCAGTAAGTAATCGTAATTTTAGATAGCTGTGTGCAAAAATTTTCCAGTGGTCATTCGATTTTTTAGAAACCAGGAAAAAGAAGTCAAAGAAGAGCAAAAAGGCTGGAGGAAAATCTGCAGATTCCTCAAAAGATTGAGAAACAGTAGGAAGAATATGGAAACGAGGGGCTATAGAAGAAAATTGGTCTCATTCTCATCATTTCGAGTTTCGTGTCTAACTAACTAAGAAAGTAAATGAAAATAGATGATTCATGTGTTCGTCAGTTTTGAAACCGGCTTTCATTCATTTTCAAGGCGCCTCATTAGTGCTCTGGTCTGTGAGAAGCTTTAGCATGCCCAGTTAGCCACTCCCTATCACTCGACTCATTTTGACAGAAATTTAAGAGTAGCTTGGAAATAACACAGCCATAACACTTGACTTTATTTAATGCTGCTCTTGATAGCCAAGAAGTCCACTTCAGTGAGGTATACGCAAGCTTTCTTAGCTTGTCAGGTTATAATATAGATATATACTATCAATGAACCAAGACATTTATTCATTTAATAGTGTTTTGTAGATAGCTAGTGCATTGTAACACGATCGTCCCATCCCTGAAATATTTCTAAGAGGTGAACGATAGCAGTAGCTCCAATGTTTGACAAGGTGTTTCTTTATCTTCTTTCGACGAACATCTATAGAAGCAATTTGCTTCGCCAGCTTTTATTTACGAGTTTTTACAGTCATTTGTTTACCTTATTGTCCACCGATAAGCAGAGGAAAGGCTTGGTGCACCCTAGCTTTAGAAGAGTTAGGAAGAATGTAAATAAAAACGGTCTTAGGCTTTTTTTCAGCTAATGTAGCGTTGGCTGGACGATTTGGCACCAATTGTGCACAGATTGCCACGAAAGCTTACTATACCTAAACAGGTCGAGTAATATAGCCATTAGTCTTTAAATTAATCAATGAATGGATGCAAAGTATGCTGTATAGCATTAAATACCTCAGACTTTTTCACTTTGTGTCTTGAAATTTTCTTATATTGAGCCTCTCTGAACGCCTAGTCGAACTGTGCACATTAGCGACGGAGTGGTGTTAAAAGCACTAGTGCAAGGAAACGTGGGATAGCTCATCATCTCGCATAGGGGTAGTCTTACACCTTTACAACACGGAAACGACTTTATGTTAGAGCTCTGTTTAATCGCAGAACACTAGTGCTCCTTTTCACATTAGATCTCCATTCCTTTTAGTTTAACTTTGTTCACATTATGCACCTGCCATCCTGATTGATCAACGGTTCATTGATTACTCCTTTCTCAATGTTACAATTCAGAGATAGAGACGAGAGACCGATACCTAATCCATGCTGTCACCACATTGTAACCATAGCTCATCTTTAGCCGCATGAATCGTAATAAATTCATATCGGTTAATTTACCTCACACCCGACGGTTGAGTGAATATCATCTCAATTAAGGCTCTAAGACCAGTGTTACTTTCTAGTACATAGGTGATTTATGTATATCTGACATCTTTGTTTGCAAAGAAAATTAATCGCCCAGGTTTGCCGGTAATGTGATAGAGAAGATGCTTTCCTATTTGGAGAAAACAATTCCAATCATTGCCCCACTTATGGTGGTTTCGTATGATTGTTGAACAACTTCGCTGCTATGTACAGCTCAACTGCATCACCTTAGCGTTTTCCGAGATGTTAGTGACGATAGCTCTCCCAACGGTTTACCGCCTCAAAGTGCCTAGGAGGTTCTTCGGTGTCGGGCTACGATGTACAGCGCGGGGATTCATCCCGCTCCCAAAATGAGGAACCCGGCGCTTCCATCCGGAAGCCTAGCTAAAACTAAACCGCTATCAGGATCAAACACCGTCCTGATATCGAACTGCTAGCGTGGTGGCAAATCTCCTTTTGATTTGATCCACAAGGACGGCGACTGCCTATGGTGGTGACGACATGGGGCAGACCTTGACCAGGCTGTCCTCGAGATTTCAGGGAATCACAATGGCTTAACCAGCGAATCTCCGAAAAGATGGAAATTTTTGTCTATGGCCCTCACAACCAGTGAGGACGGACAGCTTTTTTGTTTATATGATTGATGGCTTACGATCTTTCCTGTATTGAAACTCTCCCCTTACTTCGTATTTTTGTTGAGCAAACGCGAGGTGTTATTATTCTTTATTCACGAATGAGCTGACGTTTCGGCGGATTTCGCCTCCCTTAGAGCCGTAGCACATTATACTTCCATGTGATTTCTGTGCGGTTGGTCTCTACGTGACATAGTGGAGACCTCGTAGGAAGCGGCTCTAAGGAAGGCGAAATCCGCCGAAACGTCAGCTCATTCGTGAATAAAGAATAATAACACCTCGCGTTTGCTCAACAAAAATACGAAGAATTACTTGATCAATGCCGAGGTTAATAGAAAGTCGGTCGTGGGAGTCTCCCCTTACTGTTCTGCAAAATTTTCACCAGACAGGGTTTCGAATTCTTAAGAAGCGAGTAATGTTATCGATTGATTACCTCACAATGCTTTACGTTAACTCATCATCGGTAGTGACTCTAAAAACACAGATAACACTTAACACCCAGCTCTCTGCACAGGAGACTATGTGGAAATGTAGTGGGAAAGTGGCGATGAAGATGTGGTTGGAGATAATAAAGACGATGTCGATGAAGTATTAAGCGTTAAGTAGCCTGAAATTCTTTCATCTCATAACCACTGTAATTCCCATAATAGAACATCGGAATTTCATGACTGGCGTCTCGTTGATTGCAGAGAGCAACACAGTCATGCGTGATGGTAGTCGCTCCTCTGAAGTGCAAATTTAGCAAAGATAACTATTGATAAATCTGTACGTATCAAATGTTTTAGAAACCGAGAAACATTATGCGACATTCCGTTTTTAGTATTCGTCCAAGTAAGACAAAAAAAAGGAGTGCACATGACCAGAACGTACTAAGCGCAGGGTTAGACGATAATCGAGTTCTATGTTCCTCTTCTTCTTCAGAAACTCACTTTTCAAGACCGCTTTCCTTTTGTTTTGTGTGCCAATTTCATTCTAGAACAATGGCTTTCGCAACATGCATACAATTTCATTTACTTGCCTATCACTATTGCATTCCTAGATTATAATGTTCAACACTACACTTTGTGTATAGAAAAGGAAAGACCTTCAATCAGGAAGTCTTGTCCAATCTGCTCATCCACATACGCTTTCAATTCAATGCATCACCTTTATCACCTGTCGTCCCGCTCAGTGACTGTCGTCGAGTGACTCTAACGGGTGCCAATAAATCTTCGATTTTTCCCTGTCGCGTGGAAGAATAGAGCCCAGTGGGTCCTGTTTCAATTCAATTCAGTGCATATTTATTCAAAAACGGCTGAATTTTCGGCGATTTTGCCTTCCTCAGATCCTGGGGAAGGTCAAATGGACACGAAATCTACTTAACGAAACAATTTAATAACCCTAAGCAGAAAAGACCCGATACGTTGCTTTCATTTTCATAGTAAACTACTTTATTTCAACACCACCCGTTTTGTTCTTTACAAGTCTTCCAGTTATTCTTGGAGAC